TTTCTACCGTCTCCACAGTTTTGCCTTTTCAGAATGTCATATATTGTAGTCATAGGTTTGTGCTATTTTCAGATTGGTTTCACTGACTGAGTAATATCCAGTTAAGCTTCCTCAATGTCTTGTCATGTTTGATAACTCATTTCTTTTTAGCACTGAATAATATTCCATTGTCTGAATGTACTACAGCTTCTTTATCCATTTAGTGACTGAAGGACATTGTGATTGTTTCCAAGAATTAACAATTATGAGTGAAGCTACTATAAACATCTGCATGCAGATTTTGGTTTAGACATAGCTCTTCAGTTCCTCTGAGTAAATACCTAGGAGCATGACTTTTGAATCATATAGTTAAGTAAGAGTGTTTAATTTTGTAAGAAATTAAACTCTCATTTTCTCACTTTCTTCCTATTGCTTTTTGCAGAGCAGATATTTTTAATTTTAATAAAGTCTAGCATACTCATTATTTCTTTCATGAATTGTGTTTTTGGTTTTGTATCTAAAAAGGTATACTATAGCCATGGACATGCACATTTTTTCTTGTGTTATCTTCTAGGAGTTTCATCATTTTGTATTTTATATTTAGACTTATAAGCAATTTTGAGTTAATATTTATGAAGGGTGTAAGGTATGTGCTTAGATTCATATTTTTGCTTGTGGACATCCAGTTATTTTAGCATCATTTGTTGAGAATTAAAAGTACATTTTTAAATTGCCTTTGTTACTTTGTTGAGGATAATGAGGCTACAATTGTAAGTCCATTTCCAGACTTTATATTCTGTTTCTATTGATATATTCTTTTACTGTTACCACACTCTTGTGATTACTATAAGTTTACAACAAGTCTTCAAATTGGGTGGCACCAGTCCTCCAACATTGTTCTCTTTCAATATTGTCTGAGCTGTGCAGGGCTTTTCACATCTCTATACAGATTTAAAACTTGTTAGTTAATACCTGCAAAATAATTTGCTGAGACTTTTATTATCATTGCATTGAATCCGTAGATCTGGGAAGAACTCTACAACTTGATGATATCAAACATTCCTATTCATATACATGGACTATTTATTTGTTTAGTTCTTTGATTCTGTTCATCAATTTTATAAATATCTTCATATATATTTTGAACATTTGTTAAATTTATACCTATTTCATGAATTTGGCTAATAATGTAAATGGAATTGTGTTTTAAATTTAAAATTCCACTTGTTTATTTTTAGTATATATAGAATACATATTACATAGTATTATATAGTATCTTGCTGTTTTTCAATCACTAAGTTGTGTCTGACTCTTTGTGAACCCATGGACTATAGCCCACCAGGCTCCTCTGCCCATAGGCTTCTCCAGATAAGAATACTGGAGTGGGTTCTTGTTAGGGAAATTAAAGAAACAATCTTGTTTAGGCTTCAGGGACAAAGCAGAGCAGGCCTCTGACCTTGCTTCTAACCTGCCTGGACACTGCCCCGACTATGAGTGACCATGAGTGACTGCCTGCTGTGAGTGCAAGACTTGCAGCACCTTAGATAAGATGGGGGAGGAATTTTTATGTTGTTGAGCCCCTGGAGGGGCCCTGCTAACCAAACCCCAGACTTAACAATGTTCCAAGTTTTATAAGACAAAACAACAGCATTGACATGAAACCAGGCTTGCAATTTGGTCATGGATTAATGATATCAGTTTGCTCAGTCCTGGGATTATCCAAACTGCAATCTTTGAAGTATCAGAAACAGAGCAGACATGCTACCTGTACCCATTCCCAATTGAGACACCAGATGTGCTGAGACATGGGACTTCCCAGTACTGTTTATGTTGGTCAGAACACAATTTGGTGATGTATTCTCTGCTCTTCTGTTTCTCTTTTCTTTTAATGTTTGTATGTTGAAAGTAAGCTAGATAATTCTCTAACAAATATTTTTATTATTTATTTGTATATAAATAAGTGGCTTATTTTGTTAACAAATTCTTTGAACCTGAGATGAAAGTGAAACTTTCAGCAGGACAGTTGCCATTTCCTTCTCAAATATAGTGTATATAATATATATTTCACAATACTAATAATATATACTATATATGTACTATACTATATACTATATATATTATATACTAAAACATGTAGAACTTGAAATTTTAAAATACAATACTATTTACATTATATATATGTCTATACATTATATATATAATATTAGTATATATAGTATATATTGTCCTATAGTACATATATAGTATATATTATTAGTATAGTGAAATATATATTATATATACTATATTGGAGAAGGAAATGGCAACTGTCTTGCTGAAAGTTTTCACTTTCATCTCAGGTTCAAAGAATTTGTTAACAAAATAAGACATTTATATACAAATAAATAATAAAAATATTTATTAGAGAATTATCTAGCTTACTTTCAACATTTGCATTAGTGTATATAGTATATATTATACTACACTAATTATATATACTGTATGTATCTTATACAATACATACTTATAATATACTATAAATCCTATATACTAAAAGTAAACAAGTAGAATTTAAAATTTAAAAATATAATACCATTTACATTAGTTTATATATCATATAGTATAGATGTATATACACTATATATTAGTATAGTATATATAATATATATCAGTAGCACATACTATATATAGTATTTACATTCGTATAGTTTATGGTGTATATTATTAAAAATTATATCTTACACATATTATAGTATATCTATATAGTATATGTTATACAGTATATTGAGTATACAAATGGAGAAGGAAATGGCAACCCACTCCAGTATTCTTGCCTGGAAAAGCCCATGGATAGAGGAGCCTTGAGGGCTGTAGTTCATGGGGTTGCAAAGAGTCAGACACAACTGAGCAACTGAGCATATACAGTATATCTGTAAAGCCTATATATTACTAGTAGTAGTATTAATACAACTATTTTGTATTAATCTTGTATCCTGAAATCTTCCTAAATTGCTTATTAGTTAAAGGAAACATATATATATATATATGTGCTTGTGCTTAATCATTCAGCATGTCCGATTCTTTGGAACACCATGGATTGTAGCCCACCAGGCTTCTCTGTCCATGGGGATTCTCCAGGCAACTAATAAAAATAAATGAAAGAAAAAAAAAAAGAATACAGGAGTGGGTTGCCATACCCTCCTCCAGGAGATCTTCCCACCCCAGGGATTGAATGCAGGTCTCCAACATTGCAGGTGGATTCTTTTACTGTCTGAGCCACCAAGGAAACCTTGTTATGTCATCTAAATTAAGTCATTTTTACGTCTTCTTTCTCAATCTATATATATATATATTAAATTTTTTTCTTCCCTATTGCATTAGCAAGGACTTCCAGCACAATGTTGAGAAGCAGTGGTTATAGGGGACACACTTGCCTTAGTTTGGATCTAAGCCAGAAACCTTCAAGTTTCTTACTGTGAAATAGGACATTAGCTATAGGTTTTGTTTGTTTTGTTGTTGATATATACATACATACATACATATATATATATAGTATGTATTTTACTCAAGCTGAGGAAGTCTTCCTTACTTCCTAGTTTACTGAGAATTTTTATCATGAATGGTATTGATTTTTTTTTTTTCATCTATTGATTTGATCAATGGATTCTTCTTTTATAGTCTATTACTGTGACAAATTACATTAATTAACTTTTATGTGTTGAACCAGCCTTTCATACTTGGGATACATCCTGTGCAGTTTTGGTTTATAATTCTTCTTATACATCATTGGTTTTAATCTTCAAATATTTTGTTGAGGATTTTTACATTTATGTTCATGAGAAATATTTGTCTGTAGTTTTAATTTCATGCTTTACTCTTTCTTTGCTTTAAGGTTTTAGGATTGTATACTACTTGAATCTGTCTTTGTATTTATATTTCTCCATACATTATCTTGCAAATCTTTCTTTAAAAGAAGTAATTCTAAATCTACCTTTGCAGAGTGAGATAAAAGCAAAAAAAAAAAAAAGGAACAAAACACCTTGCCTGAAATTCAAAGTAGAAGAAAAACAAGACAAATATATTTTTTAAAATACATAAGATAGATGTATAGACTAAGACTTTCTCTTGCTTTATTCACAAGAGCAAGTCTTTAAAGCTTCCCCGGCCCCCTGCCCCAGAAACCACCACTTTTCAATAGGGAAGGCATATATCTGTGATGGCAGAGGAAACATTCTAAAGAAGATCCTATCCTCCTGTTTCTATGAAGCACTCTTTCAAATGCTTAGTGGAGATGCCATTTCTTTGTCTGAAATAAGCCCTTTACCAGCAGTATTTTGAACGGTGAAAATCTACTCATTTTTCAAATTTTACTTCAATGGTTTATTTTAAAGAATCTTTCCAATTCCCTTAAAACCAGGTAAAGGAAATAGACTTACAGGTTTTGTCAGCAACATTTGTTGTAACACTAGCCACAAATGTTATTTTAAAATGCAACTGGAAATACCTATATGCTTGTTAATCATGCTGGAATATAATAGCCATAGAAATAGACTTTTCTTTCTTGTTTGTCATTTCCCGGCACTGCTGAGTTCAAAATCTTTAATCACATCTTTTCTAAAAATACTGTGGGTGAACTTTGTATCCTGGAGGAATATTTTAAAAACTAGGACAAAGACATCTCTTATGAAGAATTTTTCAGCTTTATTGAGATATAATTAATATATTATATAAATTTAAAGTGAACAAGATTTGATAACTATCTGTATTGCTAAATGATTGCCACAATAGGATAATTAACACATTCATCATGCTCGTCATTGTGTGTGTGTGTGTCTGTGTGTGTGTGTGTGTGTATGAAAGTATACTAAGTTGCTTAGTCATATTCAACTCTTTGTGACCTCATGGACTGTAGCCCACCAGGGTTCTACTCTGTCCATGGAACTCTCCAGGCAAGAATACTGGAGTGGGTAGCCATTCCCTTCTTCAGGGGATCTTCCAGACCCAGGGATTGAACCCAGATCTCCTGCATTGCAAACAGATTCTTTACTCTGAGTCACCAGGGGAGCCATGTATGTGTGTATGGTGAGAACATTTAATATTTACTCTCTTAGCTGTTTTTAAGCATATAATACAATATTGTTACCTATACTCATGACCAATTAGATCCCCCAAATTTATTCGTTTCACCGCTGGAAGTTTGTACTTGAAGCATTTTTCCCACACCCCGTAACTCTGACAAACTACAGTTCTACTAGGTTTCTATGATTTTGACTTTTTTTTTTTTTCAGATTCCACATATAAGCAAGATTAAAGATTACTTGTCTTTCTCTGTCTTGCATTTCACTTAGTGTAATACCCTCAAGGAATGTCATATTGCCACAAATGCCAGAAATCCCTTCTTTCTCAAAGTTGAATTATATATAAAAAATAAACATATATTCTATATACCCATTCTATATGCAGATATTTTATGTTATTTAAATGAAAAACTTTTAATTTTTTACACTTGAGAGTAATGTTAGCTTTGAGATTATCATATGTGACCTTTACCATATTGAGATATGTTCTTTTCTTATTTATTAAAGTTTGCCATTTATTTGAGAAAAACAATGAACTTCAACATGAATATCTATATACATTTGAAAAATAATAGCATAATAGTATCTAGTCATGCCCTTTCTCCAATGTATGACAAATTGTTTATGCATATGTGTGCTCAGTCGCTTTAGTCATGTCTGACTCTTTGCGGCGCTATAGACTATAGCCCACTAGGCTCCTCTGTCCATGGGATTCTCCAGGCAAGAATACTGGACTGGGTTGCCATTTCCTCCTCCAAGTTTATGCATGAGAGGGTACATGTACACTTTGAAATCTTCCTGAATACCCTGAGGTCTTTAAATCCAGTAATATTTGTAAGGGTGAGACTTGCTATTTCTTCAGTTTACAGGAACTCCTGATAATTTCCTTCTGAAAAATTCATTCTATTCTACAACCAGGGATCAAGACTAGTAGAGAGTAAATGGCTGACTCAGAGGGCATAATCTTACTTCTAAAATATAAAGAGTAAATGTTAATATAATTATTTCAGTTTAATTTTCATTACCAAAAGCAGAAATAATTTCTCATTTTTTAAAGTGAAACTTTTGAGTTCTGACTATGTTCTAATGTTTTAGAGCCTAATTATTAGGAACTAAACCAAATATGTTATGTTTGCATGGTTCTTACACCAACATTGAAAACTTTTTGTTCCTTCTATAACCAATCTGTCATGAACTTTTAATTTAATAAGGTGTTGATTTTGTCAACCCCTATTTCTGCATCTATTGAGAGGATCCTATGATTTTCCTCCTTCAGTCTTCTATTGTGGTGTATCTTGTTTATTTATTTGTATATGATGAACCACCTTTGCACTCCAGGGATAGTCCCACTTGATCACTGGTGTATGGTGCATTAAATGTACTGCTGAATTTTAGTTGTTAGAATTTTGTTGAGAAAGTGTGCATCTACCTTCATCAGAGATATCAGTCTATAGTTTTCTTTTCTTGCAGCGTCCTCATATGGCTTTGGTTTCAGTGTAATGACGGCTTCATAAAATGAGTTTTGAAGTATTTCTTCCTCTTTAAATTATAGAAGAGTTTGAAAAAACTTGCATTAATTATTTTAAATGTTTGATAGAATTCACCAGTGAAAATATCTGGTCCTAGACTTACCTTTGTTGAGAGTTTTCTGATAACTACATCAGTATCCTTAGTTGTTATTAGTCTATTAGGATTTTCTATTTTATGATTCAGCATTAGTAGATTTTCTGTTTATCAGTATTTATGGATTTTCCCCAGGTTATTCAATTTGTTTTCCAAGTGTATAATTATTTATAGCAGCTTCTTATGATACTTTGTAGTTACTGTGGTGTGCTAAGTTGTTTCAGTCATGTCCGATTCTTTGCAACCCTATGGACTGTAGCCTGCCAGGCTCCTTTGTCCATGGGGACTCTCCAGGCAAGAATACTGGAGTGGGTTTCCATTTCCTTCTCCAGGAGATCTTCCTGATCCAAGGATCAAACCCCAATCTCTTATGTCTCCTGCATTTGCACGTGTGTTCTTTACCACTAGTGCCAGTAATTATGTGATGTCGAATTGGGCTATCGCCTTATGCATTTATGAATTTTAGTTGAGCCTCTCTCACAAAAAATTTTGTGTTTTCTAAAAATAACTCTCAGTCCCATTGATTTTTTCCTATGACTAATCTAGTATTTATTTCATTTATTCCTATTCTAATCTTTTTTTCTTTTTTCCTTCTTCTAACTTTGGACTTAGTTCATTCTTCCTTTTCTAATTTCTTGTGGTGTAAAGTTAAGCTGTTTACTAGAGATTTTTCTTTTTTCTTGATGTAGGCATCTATTGCTCTCTACTTTCCTCTTACAACTGCTTTCGCTGCATCTTGTATATTTTGGTACTTGTGTTTTTATTTTTGTTTGTCTCAAGGTACTTTCTAATTTCTTTGAGGTCTCTTTCCTGACCCAGTGATTGCACAAATGTGTCATTTAGTTTCCAACTATGTGTTCATTTTTCACTTTTCTTCCTGTTACTGATTTCTAATTTCATAGCACTGTACTATTAATAAGAAAATACACTGGATATGATTTCTATCTTAAATTTGTGAAGACTTGTTTTATGGTTCAACATCTAATCTATCTTGAGGTTCTCAACAATTATTGTATTGCTGCCTATTTCTCCCTAAATATTGATTACATTTTACTTTACGTATTTAGGCAGTCCAGTGTTATGAGCATATATATTTATAATAGCTATATCTTGTTGATGAATTAACACTTTTGTTGATACATGGTTACCTTCTTTGTTTTGTGATAAATTTTGACAAAAAAAAAAATTTATTTTACCTGATATAAGTAGAGCAATTCCTGCTCACTTAAGGTTACTGTTTGTATGGAATATATTTCCCCATCCTTTTACTTTCAATCTATTTGTGTCTTAAAACTAAAATGAGTCTCTTGTAGGCAGCATATTTCTAGATTTTTTTTTTATTAATCCACTCAGCCATTTTCTGTATTTTTTTAAGAATCAATATTATTTTAATTATAAACTTATAATAATTGTCTAAACACTGGAGTTATAGTTCAGTATTCCCTTAAAAATTCTTGTAGGAAGCCCTCCCACACCCCCAGGGCCCCAAGAGCAGGCTCTTGTCTAACACTCAGAAAAGAATTGTCCAAGGAGATATGTGCTAACAAAACACGAGACTTTATTGGAAGAAGGCCCCCAGGCAGCGAGCAGCAGGGTAAGGGAATCCAGGAGAACTGCTCTGCCATGGGGCTGGCAGTCCTGGGTTTTATGGTGATGGGGTTAGTTTCTGGGTTGTCTGTGGATGACCATTCTGACTCAGAGTCCTTCCTGGTGGTGCACACTTCACTCAGCCAAGATGGATGCCAGCAAGAGGGATTCTGGGAAGTGGTCACACATGTGGTGTCTTCTTTTGACTTTTCTCGAACTCTTCTGGTTGGTGGTGGCTTATTAGGCCCATATTCCTTACCAGGACCTCCTGTCCTAGAACAGCTTGTGTGAATGGTTACTAGAGAACCTGGCCAGGGTGGGCAGTTTCAGTCAGTATGCTTTCCCTAACAAAATCATTAACTAGTATATGAAGCATAGTATATGTGTTTTTGTTCAAATCTGTAGAGTGTGATACATTGCATTATATGTATATTGGATACAATTTTGTAACAGATAATAATTTCATAAAATAATAATCAATTTAAAATATCTAATTATTTATTGTTTTGAAACTCTCCAGCAAAACTATACATGTTCAAATGTGTTTCTCTTCAAGTTTATAATTATTTTTATTTTCTGGATGTTTTTCTATTTGTTTTTCTCCTTGTTAATTGATATCTCTTGATGCATTCAAGTGCATGTGAAGTGGCTTCAGTCATGTCTGACTCTTTGCAACCCTATGGACTAGAGTCTACCAGGCTCTCCTGTCCATGGAATTCTCCAAGCAAGAATATTGGAATGGGTTGCCATTTCCTCCTCCAGGAAATCTTTCCAAACCAGGGATGAAACCCACATCTCTTATGTCTTCTGCTCTGGCAGATGGGTTCTCTACCACTAGTGCCAGCAAATTCTTAGGGCGCTTCCTTGACAAAAGCAACGCCCTGCTCGGCCATCAAAACTCTTAAAACCATTCAAAACTTCTTTTTTTTTCCTAGTGAATTTAGTCAACTGTTAACTGTTTAAAGCTTTACTGTATCCTTTGTACAAGATGCTCTTTTTTTTTTCCCCTATAATATACCATTGCATGGAAGAAATAATAGCTTACTCCTTTTTTTAAAAAAGAGGCCAAGAGTAAGGGGAAAAGTGACTTTTTTTTTTTTTTTAGAAAAGGATGAACTACCATTTGTCAAAAAGTTGTTTTTTTTTTTTTTTTTTTGTATTTTAGAAAAGCAATATAAATATTTTTTGTAAATTTCATAGCATGTTTGCAGTGGGTATCATTCTATGTATTTATAGAGGAAGAAATTGTGCTTTAGCGTGGGTAAACCTGAAGTCACAGAGGTTGTATCACTAAGATAGTGTATTCAGAATTTGAATCCCATTCTAAGTTCAAAGTTCTGTTCTGATTTTACAACTTCACTGTGATACTGATGTTTTTCTTGATTTAACGAGAAAAAAATTAAATTATCTTTGATTGGAGAAAGAGTATACTGAGAGGGTAACAGGCAGGGAGACCAGGGGTCTCCAAATGGAGGAAATTGACTGCAAGTGTCAGACATTATTTCTCTCTCTCTGAAGTGGCAAGAGGAAAGGGTTAGGTTTTTTACCCTTCTCAATACAAATTTAAAAAGAGGTTTCTTTTAAAATTCTGTGTTGCCATGAGGACACCTGGCTCTACCTGAACTTAACTTTTCTCAGACTTTGAGCTAACCAATGCATTTTTCTTATGGAAATGTTTGTCTTAAGCTATGTTAATGAACTATGTGTTTACATAGACTCTGTCTTCAAGTCTGTTCCCCTAATATTAAAAATAGACTTGACAAACTAGTATATTTTACTCATGCAAATGTTCTCTTAAACTATGTTAATGAGCCTGTATTTGTTTGGAAACATGCCTTTCTTCAAGATTTATATCAACCATTTTATGGCCCAGGAAAACTCACCTTGTGCCAACATTATCTCAAAATGCATGTTGTGGGTGAGGGGCCTGGTGCCAGTCTCTGAGTTCTGAGGCATTTCCTTTCTTTAATTAGCAGACTGCTAGAGGCTATATAACATCTGGCTAAAGATTAGCAGGAGCGCACTCTTTCTGCCCCCTTCTGATGTCTATGTCAGAAGCTTTCTCTATCTCTTTTATACTTTAATAAAAGTTTATTACACAAAAGCTCTGAGTGATCAAACATTGTTACTGGCCCCAGATTGAATTCCTCCCCTCTGGAGGCTAAGAATCCTGGCATCTTTCACCTCTCAGCAGCAACCTTTCATCTTGGGGGCTCGTCCGGGACCTGAACATGTGACTTCTCAAGTCAGAGGCAAGAACAGTAGCCTGTAGACCAACCAGCCTGCCGCCCAGATGAAAGGGGCTAGTGGAGGGAGAGAGGCGGCCATTAGGAGGCCAAGGCAATAACCGAGAGATTTAGTGATCATGGCCATGATCGGAGGAGGGGGCAATGTCACAGACTAGGAGGACCCTTGAGAAATCAGTTACAAATGTATTTTTATAAAAGAAGTGATATTTCCTTTGGATTTGTCAGTTTGGATTTGGAGTGTCAGAAAACATAATGAGGAAAAGCTGTGAACATGAACAATTCCATGAATGAAGGAATCAGGCGCAGGATTGAGGAAAGCTGGTATGGAGGGATCTTGGGCTAAGATCAGAATGCCTCTTTGCACGTGTTGTGTTTGATACATCACACAGATGTCTGAATGGCACTTCCAAGCAAGCTGATAGACCCAGGGCAGCATCTCAGGGAGAAGTCTGGGACTGAGTTTTAAATTTGACAGCCGGTAAACATCTCTTCAATATGATTTTAGTATTGGGAAGGGAAAGAAAAATATCTGCATTAGTGGATTCAGAGAGAGACCCACAGGATATGGAGACCCATGATAGAGCCCCATTATGTCTCAAAACAAAATTCCATTGGAGTAATGTACATGGGAGGTAAAGAAGATTAAGAAATATCTCTCTTGATATCACACTTGATTCTTGTCTTCTTATATTTATCTTAAAATCTTTAAAAATATATTTTATATTATTCAATGTAATTAAGATATAACTTACTTTAACATATTTATTGAAATAAATATATTTCAAGAAGAAATTTAATTAATGAATAATCACTTGCTTTTCAGAACTTCCAAATAACAAGACTTTTTAACCATGAATTACTTCAATATATGAGTGGACTGGAGCTTGTTTTTTACTGTAATATTACTTCATCTAGCACTAGCTTTGTAAGTCCAACTATATTTTCCTTCTACTAATTATATGAGATCATAAATACAGAATTTGATTATTTCTTTAGAAAAAGTAATGTTAACATGAAGCATATCCTGCTTCTAAATCTTATGAGAAATAGTGCATATAGTAAACTTAAAGGAATAGATAGAAAATGAGGAAACATGGCAGACACAGTCTTGTGAGCTACAGAATTTTTAGTCTGCTGATGTGTCTCATTGCACTGCAAAAATGGCAAAGTGTAAAACCTGTTCTTTTCCTATTAGAGTGCTGTCAAATGACCTGGGTAAGTCTGTGAAAATGGAGGACTGAAGATTTGCACAACTGGAGAATGTGGATCCTCAGAAAGCAGACATTTCTGTTGTAATCCTAACTTCATCTTCCTTACAACAGTGAGGAACTGCCCTGCCATATGACATTGTCACGTGGTTACCTTTCTTCTGGAAGGACTTCTAATAGCAGCTCCAATCATTCTTGGAATGTGCCTCGGTGACCCCAGACCTGAGTGACAGTAAGTCTCAAGAGCCAAGGAAGAGCAAAGAGTTAAGCATGTTTTCTCATGAAAGGCAAACTCCTCCAAGGAAAATGCTTGCTGGCAGTGACATTCCTTTCTATGCAGAGCAGGCATGCTTGATTTTTGAAAAAGGCTTAGAGCTTGAAATTTTCTTTGAGCAGAATGTTTGAAATCATTCAAGCTGGAGTGGCAAATAAGGCAAAAACATTCCCCACATGTAGAAAAATCAGCAGAGGCTTTCAAACATATGACTTATGAAATGACGCAGCTGGGATTCTTTTTAAGCAGTCTGTCAGGCTATTACTGAGAGCACTGAAGATGTGGTTTTGCTTCCTGCTATGTTTCTCTGAAGAGTAGTTGAAAAGAATTGACTGGCTGCTTTCAAAATGTGGAGAGAAACATGAAAACTGGTACACACTATTCAATCAGGAATTTCTCTACTTTTGTTAAAACTTCAGACTTTATCATTAATTAAATTGCAGTTAAAATACTGCCACTTAAGTAAATCATTGAGGTTTTTAGTGCCCTTATGTGTGGCACATGGACATTGGAGACAAAGTAAAATAGCATGATGGAAAGAATACAGGAGTTTGGGTTAAAGAAGTTGGGTAGCGGAACTTGTTCTGTAAGTTTCTAAGTAAGAGAAATGAATTTCAGTCATTTAAATGGGCATAATGAGAATACAGACCAAAGAACATAGATATTTGCAATGAATAACAGAAAACAATCTGCTTTTAGGGGGGGGCGGGTCTTTGCTGTGGCACACAGGCTGAGTAGTTGAAGCCCATGCAGGCTGTCCAGCTGTGGTACATAGGCTTAGTTGCCCAAGCAGCAAGATCTCAGCTCCTTGGCCAGGGATCAAACCCACACTCCCAGTTTTGCAAGGCAGGTTCTTTACTACTGTACCACTAGGGAGGTCCCTGAATATTGTTTTTAAAAATATCTCCCTCACCCATTAGGGTGACTACTGAAATAAATGTCAGTAGGAATTTGGAGAAATTGGAGCTTGCACTCTCTTGGTAGAAATGTAAATTGGTGCAGTTTTTGTGGAAAAAAATTATGAATGATCCTCAAAAGATTAAAAATAGAATTAGAATATGATCTAGCAATCCCAATTCTAAGTATATTCTCCAAAATAATCAATAGAAGTGTCTTACCAAGATATTTTTACACAGCCATTTCATAGTAGCATGGTGGAAGTAGCTAAAGGTGGAAGCAACCCAAATGTCCAGTGATGGATGAATGGGTGAGAAAATGTGGCAACTATGTATAATGGAAGATGATTCAGCTATGAAAATGAAGGAGATTCTGCCACATGCTACTATACAGATGAACATTGTGGATATTATGCTAAGTGAAATAAGCTAGTGAGAAAGAGAAAAACATTATACAATTTATATGACCGGGTAAATAGTGTGAAATGAAAGTCACTCAGTCATGTCCGATTCTTTCCAAATCCCATGGACTATATAGTCCTTAAAATTCTCCAGGCCAGAATACTGGAGTGGGTATCCTTTCCCTACTCCAAGGGATATCTCAACCCAGGGATTGAACCCAGGTCTCCCACTTTGCAGAGGGGTAAATACATAAAGCAAAAATAAACTGAAGAACCAAAGTAGAACGAAGGTTGCCAGAAGTTGGAAGGATGGGGATCATGGGGAGTTATTGTTTAATGGTACAGAGTTTCAATTTGGGAATATGAACAGTTCTAAAGATGGGCAGTGATAGTGGCTACACAACAATATGTGTGTACTTAATACCAGTAAAGTGTACACTTAAAATGATGGCTAAAATGAAATTGTGTTCATTTTACCACAATAAAATTGGAAAAATTGTAATGTTTTGTTAACATAATAGCTATTAATGTGGGTCATTCTGAAGAAAGTCATAAAGCTTATTGCTGAAAATAAGAACAAACACATTGTTGTCAGAATTATGAAAGGTCACAGGCTTTGAGGCATATGCCAACAGTATTCAAAATATCATAGATAAGTGGATGGAGAATTAACTGATGACTGTAGTCCCCAACTACATTTGCAGGGTCAAGATCAAGGTCAGCAAACAAATTAGCATGGTGGGCACCTTATTGGTACAAAAGATACATTGAAATTTTGCAGTTAAAAATAAGGAATTCCTAGCATTGGCATTGCCTATTTTAGAAACAATTACACACTCTCTACTAAGTAAGTTTAATTTTCTTTTAATCTATTGTTTAGAATAGTACTTCTTCAGTTCAGTTCAGTTCAGTTCAGTTGCTCAGTCGTGTCTGACTCTTTGTAACCCCATGAATCGTAGCACGTCAGGCCTCCCTACCCATCACCAACTCCCAGAATTTACCCAAACTCATGTCCATTGAGTTGGTGATGCCATCCAGCCATCTCATCCTCTGTTGTCCCCTTAGATGGGACCAGATGCCATGATCTTAGTTTTCTGAATGTTGAGTTTTAAGCCAACTTTTTCACTCTCCTTTTTCACTTTCATCAAGAGGCTTTTTAGTTTCTCTTCACTTTCTGCCATAAGGATGGTGTCATAGCCTGTTAAAAATATTTGAAAAGAATCACATTTATAAATAACATAATGTATACAGCATTAAAAAAAAACTGTGATAATCCTACATGAATAACAAAATAATAACAACAAAAGTTCAAACCAAAACACTATAAAATTGTACAAAAACACAGTAAATAACTAATAAATAGAAATGAATAGAAGGTTATTTCACAAACTTGAGAGTATAATTAAAGCTTTAAGATGCAAATATGAAAATGCACTATTTAATTGAATAGAAATAAACCTTGTGGGCTGCCTTCATTCTACAGGGGAAGATTACACAGTTGACTTGGAATCACCTTGGGGTGCTGCCACACCTGGAAAGACATTTACTATGAAAATAAATGAAAAAGCAGAGTACAACTTGTGTATATAGAAAAATGTTGATCATAAACATATATTTATAGAAAACAATTATTTTGAGTGGAACTAAATCCACCACCAAATTTTAAGAAATGGTAATATATAATTTTTTATTCTAAAAATTCCTTAAAATAGAAAGGGGCATATTCTAGAAGTAGTGAGGTGAGTTTTAGCTAAAACAAGCAAGCAAGTATCTCTAATTGCTATTAAGTATAAACAAGAAATTTGAATGGGTCATATTTTTATTTTTTCCTCATATGTTTATCACAGCCTCAAGACTTTAATTTCAAGATTCTATCTTATATAATGAGACTTTAACTTATCATGTATTACAGTTTCAAAGGCAACTTAATATTAGAAGAATTTGTGTATATGTCCAAGGTTTTCTAGCAACCTGATCACCATTGTAAATTCATTTCCATATCTAAAGAAATGGCAATTTCAAACCAGAAAAGAGTAAATTCTTGGAATACATGAAAATTTCATCTTCTTTGCCAAATATTTCTTTTGGTACTCAGATGGTAAAGAATCTGTCTGTAATGCAAGTAACCCGGATTTGATCTCTAGGTTGGGATTATCCCCTAGAGAAGGGAATGGTTACCCACTCCAATATTCTTCCCTGAAGAATTCTGAGGAGACTAGCAGGCTACAGTCCAAGGGGGTCACAAAAAGTTGGATATCACTGAGCAACTAACACACACACACACACACACACACACACACACATATTATACCAGATACAAATGTAAAACAATTTAAAGGGACAAAGTTAAGTAAGTCTCAGACTCTAGTAATAAGATCATCCAAATACATGGCACAAATAAATCAAGAAATGAGCAAGCAACAGTTTTGCCATTTTATTTCAAAGAAATATTCCATGGGAATTTTCTATGAGTTCTGCCAAAGAACATACCATGTGAGGCAGTGAAGTCCTCATCAATCTTGAATCAATGGCATCTTTTTATCAATGCCATTCATTGTAGATAATATTTTTGAAAAACACAATGAAAATGAAAGTTAAAATATTGAAAACTCCTGTTTTTAAGCCTACAACAAATATAAAATTACTTTGTCATACACAACTTCTAAATAATTTCTAGATTTCCATATAATTTTCTAACCGCTTACTCAGAATATTTGTCTTCTTCAATCATGAACTAGGAAAGAAGTTTAATGAATTGGATTCCTTGCTGGTTCACACAGTTAAGAATCTGCTAACAATGCAGGGGACCTGGATTGGGTAGATCCCCAGGAGAAGGGAATGGCAACCCACTCCAAGTATTCCTGCCTGTAGAATTCCATTGACTGAGAAGCCTGGCAGTCCATGGCTCTGCCAAAAAAACCCCATGGGTTTGCAAAGAGTCGGACATGACTGAATGACAATACATTCACTTTCAAACCCCTGTGCAGACCACATTGTGAAGAACAATGATACTGGAAAATATCCTTGACATAATTGCTAAAGTTTATATAGTAAAGGTTTCATAGAGTTCTTTATCACAGTGTTCCTTAAGGTAGGTCAATAAAATAATGCCAAACTAAGTTTCAGTAGAATACATTTTATGAGACTGATTACAGAAGGAAATGGTTCTTTAATGATATATATTTAATCTAAGAGGACATCCCTTATGGCTTAGCTGGTAAAGAATGTGCCTTAAATGTGGGAGATCTGGGTTCAATCCCTGGATTGGGAAGATCCCTTGGAGAAGGGAAAGGCTACCCACTCCAAACTTACTGTAATAAGAACTGAGGAGCAGGTAGATAGTTTAAGGTTATGTTTTCTCCAAAGATCTAGCTTCAGGTAGATCAATATGGATTTTCAAACAATCAAAATAAGAAGTTTAACATTCTTTTGAAAATCAAACAACATCCATAAACAAACATATTCCTAGATAGGTAGCCACTTCTCCAATTAATGGAATAAGGATTTAAGAGAAAGAATATGATTTCATTTTACAGATACAGTCCAAGACTATCTCTAACAATTTGAAAATGGTGATTGAAGAACTGAAATTCTGAATTCCTGAATTTTCAACGTTGTACTGGGTAACTTTTGATTAAAATTGCCCATTGCAGTCAAACACACAAAAAAGGAAACTGAATTAAACCTATAGACATTGTTGTTAAGTAATTTCACTCACTGGTGAACTCCAAGATGAATTATTTGATACATTTACTCTTAGATAACTTATAGATTTTATATGGTTTATGCACTTGTTGGAAAAATGCCAATTAAATATTGGATGACATCTGCCAAACAAAGAATTATGGTTTAAATATACTTGACTTTGTGCCATTTTGCCATTCCTTTTGCAATTGATGAGGGTGCAGATCTAATTATCTGCTCAGCCCACTTTTACAATATGAAAAAAAAAAAAAAAGCTTTATAGTTAGCTCTGAAGAAAAATCCATAAAATTTTCTACCTAATAGCTGGAAGGGGTGCTTTAAGTTCACTCAAAACTGAGTTTAATTAATTACCATATATTTAAGACATTAAAATATGTAGAATTGATAAAATAGGGTATAATGCATTATGATAAAAATATTAATTGGTGTATTTTCAGAGTATTTATTTTGATCCT